CAGGCTACAAAGACTAAAATGGCAAATTTTGGTTATGATTCAGACTCCAATATTTCATCATGCAGTGATTGTGAACTTTCGTAAACTAAAAAGCTATTGGTGAACCTACAGGAGATGACACTCTGGATACAGAAACAGATATGGATTTGGTTCAAACATGTCTACTCCATGTCCCTTTAATAGTTTCGACGATGTTGGTCAAAGAAAAAGGTCTTCATGGCGGGTCTACGAGTGAGAGATGCTATATACATCGTGATAGAAAACGGCATGATGTAATTGTCAAAGACTATTTTAGTGGTGAGAATTCAAAATACACTCTTGACCAATTTCATCGTCGTTTTCGAATGACCATCGAATTGTTTAAACGTATTTCAAAAATTGCTTGCATCAATAAGAATGCTTGCATATGGCTGCTCAGCAGATTCTCTTGATAAGTATATTCAGATTGGAGAAACCACTGCAATTGAGAGCTTAAAAAGATTTTGTGATGCTATAATTGGTATCTTTGGAGAACAATATTAAAGAAAACTGACCGGAAATGATACTACAAGGTTGTTGGAAGAGGGTGAGAGGCATGGATTTCCAAAAAAACTTGGTAGTTTGGATTGTATGCATTGGCACTGGAAAAATTGTTCCACGGCTTGGCACAGAACATATACTAACGGTTTAAAAAATGTTCCGACTCTTATTCTAGAGATTGTGCTTCACAAAATTTATGGATTTGGTATGCATTTTTCGGGATGGCTGGTACTAATAATGATATTAATGTCTTAGATAGGTCTCCATTGTTTGATGATCTCATTAATGTAAATGCTCCGTCATGCGACTTTATAGTGAATGATCATCATTACAATATGGGGTACTACTTATCAGATGGAATATATCCACAATATGCCACTTTAATTCAAACAATCTCTAGTCCATCTTCAGTGAAGGAAAAGTTATTTGCCAAGTGCCAAGAAGTTGCACGAAAGGACGTGGAACGAGCATTTGGCGTTTTGCATAAGTCGTTGGCATATAGTTAAAGGGCCAGCACGTATGTGGAATTCTAAAGATTTGGAGAAAATTATGAAGACGTGCATCATCTTACACAACATGATTGTTGAAAATGAAACTAACCAAGGCATGAATCTCGAGAGTTGGCAGCCAGAACAAATTAGGCGACATGAAGTAAATAATAATGTTATTTCAGAGCATGATATTTCTTATCTCGTATCAAGGATGACTAGCAGAATGAAGGAAATACAAAACAAAAGAGTGCACAGGGAGTTAAAGACCGATCTCATCGACCACTTATGGAACTTACATGGTGGTCAACAAATTGGTTGAATTATAACTGTATCTGGAATTTAAGAATATGAATTTACTTTCTTATTTTTAATTTGTTCAATGATGATGATTATTTTTATTTTACTTTTATTTTTCTTTTTGAGAAAATATTATTTCAATTTATGGTAGTGTGATAAACCATCTGTGCAATAATTGTAGACTATATGCCTCTGTCAAACCCATTTGAGTATGTTTATCCCGCTAGCATCGAGCTCATCACCCTGTGTTTGCGAACAGTACGAAACTCAAAACAACTTCAGAGGAAGAGTTTATATACAGGTGAGCAAATAATTTCACTCTTAAGTATCAAATTTTTATGTTTTTATTCATCAAAGAGACTGCTAATAAATTAGCAAAACTACAATTCTAATCGCTAGGACTGCACATCATTTTGTCATACTGAAATGCAAATAACATCTCTGCATGAGAAAGCAAAGATCACAAAATTATGAGCAACAAAAATATCTGCCGCAGGTCCCATATGCGAATAAAAAAACTCAATACAAATCTCCCTCGAATAGTACAGAAATATGAGGAATGCCTCCAAAGTTCCAACCAAATAAATCACGGGATTTTTGGATTCATTAAAATACAGACATGAAGAGCAAAATAGAACAAACTAGCCCCTAGATCTTCTCTTCTAGTGGCATCACGAAGGAGCTCGACATCAACTCCCTCGGGTGGCAATTGGACGTACCTGACGACTGGACCTCTTATGAAGCAGTTACTCAAGCTGCGGACAATATGATGATATCAATTAACTAAATCAAGGTGTGAAATATGAGATTGGAAAGGACATCAAAATTCATTTCAGCCTAATATAAACAGTAGCTAAATGTGGTAAAAATAGGATCGTGATGTAATGTTATTCCCACCAGGATATGTGCAAGAAACTTAACCAAGGCGCCAACACTTAAAAAAAGAATAAGCACCTGTTAAGATGATGTAAAATCCTGCATTTAGTTCCTCAAGGAAATATCACCATTTAATTTAACATGGCAATCTTGCATAACTCTAAAATCAGTCCAAGTCTTCTGCTCAAGCCTCAAAATCCTGATAATAAGAAAAAAATCAAGACAGTTTTTACTTTTTTTTTTTTTAATTTAATCAAAAGCACAAAGTAGTATACCTGTGAGTTTGTCATATCAGTTTAAAATATATCGTCTTTTTCCATTCTTTGAAAATCTTGGCTTGCATGGCTTCATATGCAGCTCTAGCTACAGGTGTAAGCTTGCTTAAATCTTGGTTCATTACCCGTTCTTGTCGTTTTCTCCTTTGTTCTTTCATCTTCATTTCCAAAGTGTAAGCTACAGGTGTAAGCTTGCTTTGCCAAAGTGGACTGCAACTTGTTTAATGCATCCACCACACCTCTTTTATCATGCAATTTTCTCTTCTTTTCTTTACTATTTTTTCTTCCTGTTGGTCGTCCCACACCATCACCTTCAGGTGTTATGTTATCATCAATGATATTCAGCAAAGACTCTTCAGATGTAGGCGACTTGTTTTCATCATCCGCTTGTCTATCTGGTGCATTGTTCTTATCATGTTTCGACTGCCATTTTGGGTTTTTAATTATTATTTCCCAGCAGTGAACCCATTTGAATTTGGTACCTTCTATATCTTCGTACATACCCAACGCCTTGTGAATCTACAAAATAATAAATAAAATATGAGAAATGTGATGATAGATAGCGAGAAAATTATTTTGTGATAAAAATATTTAATGTAACATAATATACTTACCAAGTCTTTTGAGTTTGTACCACTCTGAGGATGCCTCTCTAGTTTAGAATAATGCCCTGCAAAGTTGTTTACCGCTGCATGTATTATGGACCAATGGCATTGTAAACTATTAGACAATCTAAGATATTTGCACTCAGGCCCCATGTTTTCCTACCATACTTGATGAATACGAACCCACATGGCAATAGCTTTTTTATTGTTACCTACAATAGGGTCCAAAGACACATTCAACCATGCATTCGTCAAAGCTATTTCTTCTTCTACACCCCAATCCTTTTTGCCACTTGATGTTTGGACATCTTTAACTCTCTTTTTTAATCCTTTTGGTGTTACTTCATTCTGATTGTTCATGCCCGTGGTGTTACCACCAATTTGAGATGGAACCATTGGAGTGCTAACAGGAATCCGATTACTACCCAAAGAATTGTTACCAGGAGTCTGAAAATTGGTCATTGGAGTGTAGATAGGAAAATGAGCATTGCTAACACCACTTTGATTGATTACCATTGGAGCATTCAACAGACTTTGAAACGTAGGAGTGGCTCCATATTGTAGGTCAAGATGAGAAGGATGTAATCCACTTGAATTCAAATGAAAATCAGGAGGATGAGATTTGGAGTTCTGATGAACATGTGGATTTGGAAATTGAGATGCCAAGTCATAGTTAGAGCGCTCATCCAAATTTGACATGATATTGAAGTCTTTTGGGTCCCTGTCTATCTTTATAAACAAGAAGAATTTCAAAAAAGTTGAACAAAACAATATTAATGAGAAAAGATTTTATCCACACCATCGCAGTTACTACAATAATGGATTGTTTTACTATAGTCCAGAACAAACAACACCAAGTCATTAAGACCGCATTTAAGTCTAGTTATCACAATTTTGATCCAAAATAATGATTAAAAATAGCAGGAATATGACTGATACATTAGCTAAACATGCTATACAGAAGCAAGAAATGAGGACTGGAGTGCTTTGCTGAAAATCACCTTTTTAATCCCATAACCAAATATTAGTTTTTTTTTTAATTTTCCATTTTTATTTATATTACACGGGCAAAAGGTAGGAGGAGAGAAAAAACTTGCATCATTTTCTATTGGTTACTCCATGCTGCAGAAGACAATGATTAAAACCAACTCATTTTCTTTGTAGCAAGATTTTCTATTTTTGTAGCTTTTAGTCTATTGTGTATGGCCCCATTCATCTCATTTTCACCTCACATTAATCTTTTTTGTTTCATTTTCTTCTACAACTACCTACCTTTATCCTTATGATTAAAACTATGAAAAATTGAAATGGATCAATGGGTTTCATTCTTTAGCCATTTTTGTTCCTTCTGAAGAAAAAAACTCTCCCTAGATGTTTAGACATCAGAATAGGCTCCTTAGAATCTCACAAAAAGCCAAGAAAATTTGAGTGTGTTGGGTGGTCGTCTGACTCGACTCGCCGGGCCCGAGCTGGCCCCGAACGTGTCCCGAACAGCCGCTGGGGAACTAAAGGTTGTTGTTCGTGCCTAACGGGAGCTGCCGGGACGAACCAGCAGCTGTTCGGGACCAAGCGGGGCCAGCTCGGGCCCAGCGAGTCGAGCCAGACGACCACCCAACAGAGTGAAAATTGAATCCTTATTGACATAACTTCCCAAAAGAAACACAAACTACACCCAAAACTGTATAGAGAAACAAATAGACCATCCCCCTAACTGAATTCAGAGTCATTACAATTTGCATCACCAATTTTTGCTATAAAGAAATTGACTAAACCAGAGAAGTTTACATAAATGAACAAAAATAGAAAAAATAAAATAAAATTAAACAAGAACCTTTTATGCAGAAATTGAAACGAAATAGGGAAAAAGGGGTATCCTTAGAGAAGAATCTTCTACAAACATCCTGACTACAACCCAAAACATTAAAATTCATCTACTGAATAGGAAAAGAAAGCTATACCAATTTTTCAATTCATGACCTGGCCGCATACACAATGAAGAAAAGAAAAAGAATCACGTACCAGAAGGTTTTTGTTGAATTGAGAATTGTAATTTTTCGACAAAGTAATTGTTGGTTCTGTTGTACGAGAATAAAAAATTGGAATCTTTTCCAGTTTCACGATTGGAAAAAATTGGGTGCCCGCCAATTTTTCCCACCATATTTTGGTCGATTTTGAGGTAGAGAATATTTATTGCCAACTCAGCACAACATTTATATTTTATTTTACCATTGGAAAACAAAATGTGGACTGATAGTTAATTTTTGATCATGTGGCATGTTTTTTTCTATAACAACAGCAAACACTGGAGATGCTCTTAACTATGTCCACTTCATCACCCATTTGTGATAACATTATCCATTGGAGAATTAAAAAGGGAGAAATTACTAAATTTGCTAATATAGAAGGTAATTTACTGTAGATATGTCAAGACGGGCCGGCGGGGCGGGTTGTCCCGTATCCCACCAAAACCCATTGTTTGGCGGGGCGGGCCAGCCTGCCATATTGACGGGCCTCTGAAAGGGCAGCCCGACCCAACCCCGCCGCGCCCGTATGAAAAAAAAAAATCATGGGAGCTTAAAAGTTAAAACTGGGACTGAGAGAAAAAAAATGTGGGCACCGCCGGCTTCAGATCTTGGATCCTCCCACTACTAGGACTGACTGTGTATGTGTGGAATTCGACAACCGCTGGCTTCAGATTCTGGCCGTCTCGAAGGTTTTTTATCGATCAGCTCTTGATGGATATAAGAATCGTGGGTAGAACAGGTGCAGTCCCACGCACGTGAAGCGCACCATAACAGGGGTGGGCCTAGATGTATCTTAGTGAGAATCAATTGGTGGAAGAAGGAGTTACCCACTAGGCTTATAAGTTAGGCCTATTTCTCTGTAAAAACGATGTGGGACAACTCAAAAGTGATATTATATTCTAATAATGGATTTTTATTTTTTTGTCGATGCTTTTTTTCCTTATCCAAAGGACATCTCTCGCACACTTCGTCTGAGAAAGCCAGCCCATTTAGGTCCTCTCTTTGGTGGGCCTTTAAAATAGCAACTCAACTTGCCTGTTAGGCGGGGTGGAGCGGTCCGACCTACGTGCCTAGACCCGTTTTGACATGTCTAATTTACTGCAATAATTTAAGCATTGGATATCCCTACACGGAGTTTAGAACGTCATGTGCATGTGTTATTGGAAAGAAAATGATGTACTTTTTTTAATAGAAACATGTCTTCTTTACACACGGATAAACATGGGGACAAAATCATATTTTCTAAATTAGAGAAGATAAATTATTTTCGCATTATTCATTCACTAGGGAGTAGATTATAATTTTTTTTTGCCTCGAACTCATAAAAGAATGATTTAGTTTGAGTATTTATCTCTAGTATACTCTTATTTGTTTTATAAGCTACTAGTATATACCCGTGCGATGCACGGTGGGCGCATAACTTAAAACATATTGAAGTACTTATTTTAAATATAAATAATTAAATTTAACATCTAATTATGGAAACTAAAATAAAAAAGAAAAAGAAATCATATATTATTAAAAACTTCTCTGTACACAACATTATTTGTTTGATTTGGGGGCGAATCATGTTCACCACATATTAGAATTTTCATACCCTTTATGTTAGTGACGCGCGAAACAGCAACATATAACTGGTCATGACTGAAAACTGGTTTCTTCAAGAATAAACCAACGTGTTATAATGATTGACCCTGGCTCTTGTTAATAGTCATTGCATAAGAGACCACGATAGGGAGCTGCCTTCGTTGAAACTTAAAAGGTACTCTTGCATCCGAAGGAGTTATCGTCATTCGAGGTATCAACACTTTATCCCCTGCATGGTCGCCCGTAAGTATCCTACATTCTAGGACATGATTGGAGAGTCTTGTTACAACTAAACATGTCCTGTTACACAATCCCATAGAATGATCCATGTTCCGCAACAACATAACCGGAGTTCCCACCTTCAAATGCAACTCGTGATTTGGTGTACCAGAACACTTGAGAGAATTTAAGAACTCAGGAGTGTGGATTTCTGACAAGAAATCAGAATTCAAATCGGATTTACACGTACTGTCGGAGCTCAAATATACACGACCTTCTGTTAGATTCAACGACGACATGTATTGGTTGATAGACTCAACGATCTCCAACGTAGGTACAAGTATGGCTCTGTCCTTCAGATAACTTGGATCATCTGTTGCGTTCTTGAACATTGGATACGTGCTCTCAACAATTGCAGCAATGCGGTCATCGGATGGGTCTATTAAAAGATCATCTGGTATTTCAATGGAGACACAACCATCGTTAAGACCTCCAATAGTACCATCTCCAATGCTAGCAATCCAATCAGCAAATTTAGAAAGCTCCTCACGTTCATCTGAATCATCAAGGCTCTGAAGACGCATGTTCTTCGTTAGCCTAGGCACGGTACAATCTTGCCAAATGGTTGAAGCATTTATCGAAGCATTAAATCTGTTGACGGTTCCCCTTTGGAATCACCGGGAGGATTTGTCGAAAATCTCCACCAAAAACAACAGTCTTGCCACCAAACGGTCTATAATGGTTGATTGGGTTGACCGTTCCCATGATCGCCTGAAATGACGTTTGAACAGCTTCGAAGCAATGCTTATGCATCATTGGAGCTTCGTCCCATATGATGAGGGAGGACCGTATAATTAGCTCTGCCAGAGGGCTAGCCTGGTTGATATCACAGGACGCATTTTCGTGAAGATTAATAGGTATGCCAAAGCGAGAGTGTGCAGTTCTTCCACCAGGCAACAGAAGAGAAGCTATTCCACTCGATGCAACACAAAGCACGATCTGACCCTTCGATCGCAATCCCGCAGCTAATGTCCTCCACAAGTACGTCTTACCGGTTCTGCCATAACCGTAGACAAAGAAAACATTGCCCTGTCCTGAGTCTACCGCTGCCATAATTCTTGAATAAACTCCTTTCTGTTCGTCAGTCATATTTCTAAGAAGATTACTGTGCTCGACAGATAAGGCCTTGCGGTCATAATTTAGCTCATCCAAAATCAATCGATTTGTACTCGTAGTAACACTGGTCATATCAGGAAAAGGCATTGTTGGATATTCCCGAAGACTCGTGCCGCGACGTCTCAACAAATGTTCAATTTCAGTGAGAGCTAAATTTTTTATATCTGCATCACTCAGCTACAAACCTAAGAAGGAAAAAAATTCAAAGTCAGAATTTAAAAAAATCAGCTATAGTACTTTAAAAGGAAATGAAAAATAATAAACTAAACATTAAATCATACATAAGTAATAAGTCACATACTTTCATTATTGAAGAGAAGACGCTGTCTATAAACGATGTCATCAGAGAGAAAATCCAAACACTATTCCCATACGTGCTCGGATCTACCTAAGGATCCAGAAACAACATTGCAAACATGCGTCTGAGAGAATCAGCAGATGCCCATTGACTTGCCTCAGATATGCCATCGACGTACTCACGATCGTCACCCAACAAACCTAGAGCGTGGCAAGCATCACGATACGAAAAATATTGAACATTGGCTACCTTCATATAATCCTCGTGGCAAGTTGCTCCACGGGTTACATTAAGCATGCACCTCAAATAGAAATTATCACCCGCGTTAGGAGGAACATAGCGCAGGCGGGCTATAGCGCCATCTCTAATTCGAGGGGTCCACTCTCTCAAAGTCGGGTTCCAAACAAATTTCCTTGGTGCCTCAACATATGTGAGCT